CGCTCTCTCTCTCTCCTCTCCTCCTCTCTGCTCCTCTCTCTCTCTCTCTCTCTCTCTCTCTCTCTCTTCTCTCTCTCTCCTCTCTCTCTCTCTCTCTCTCTCTCTCTTCTCTCTCTCTCTCTCTCTTCTCTCTCTCTCTCTCTCTCTCTCTCTCTCTCTCTCTCTCTCTCTCTCTCTCTCTCTCTCTCTCTCTCTCTCTCTCTCTCTCTCTCTCTCTCTCTCTCCTCTCTCTGTCTCTCTCTCTCTCTCTCCTCTCTCTCTCTCTCTCTCTCTCTCTCTCTCTCTCTCTCTCTCTCTCTCTCTCTCTCTCTCTCTCTCTCTCTCTCTCTCTCTCTCTATCTCTCTTCTATCTTTTTTGTTTTTCTTTTTCTTCTTTCTTTGATTTTCTCTTTTTATCTTTCTTTCTCTTTCACTTATTTCTCTTTTTCTTTCGTTTTTCTTTTTTTCCATTTCTTTATTTCATTTTCCTCTATGATCTTCGTATGAACGTGTGTCTGTCCCTGTTTGTTTCTTGATTGTCTGTTCCGTTCTTCCTTTTACGTCTTTTTTTTTTTTTTTTTTTTTTTGTCTTTTGTCTTACCTAAGTGTATTTTTCTGTCTATGTGTCTGTCTCTCTTTATTGTCTGTATGTATGTCTAACCTATCTGTGTCTTTCTATGTCTGTCTCTCTGTCTGTCTGCTTGCTTGTCTGTCTGTTTGTTGGTTGGTTCATTCTGTCAGTTTTGTCTGTCTGTACGTAAACCTGTCTGTCTCTGTGTCTTCTTTTTTATGCAGCTTTTGAGGTTCCTGAAGGCGAATGTGGCGTGTTGAATTCTCTTTCACTTTATATTTATCTCGGTTTCCTTTCTCTTTTGTTCTATCTCTATTTTTCCCCTTGACTAAAGCTCTCTTGCACTGTCTCTATATATATATAAATTTCATTTTATCTCTATTTACCTTTTTTTTTTTGCCATCTTTGTCTATTTGGTTAGCTCTCCTCTCTCTCTCTCTCTCTCTCTCTCTCTCTCTCTCTCTCTCTCTCTCTCTCTCTCTCTCTCTTCTCTCTCTCTCTCTCTCTCTCTCTCTCTCTCTCTCTCTCTCTAATAATATCTTTTCTTCTTTTATATTATATAATTATTTATATATTTATATATATATTATATATATATATTATTATATTAATATAATCCCTCACTATCACACACTCTCTCTTGTTCTTGTTCACTCCCTATACATGTCTGCTGACATATCAACCAGTTACCCTCTGCCTCTCTCTCTCTCTCTTCTCTTTCTCTCTCTCTCTCTCTCTCCTTCTCTCTTCTCTCTCTCTCTCTCTCTCTCTCTCTCTCCTCTCCCTCCTCTCTCTCTCTTACTCCTCTTCTCTCTTACTCCTGCCATTCTCCTATTCTTCTGTTTTTTTTTCTCGACCTCCTTTCCTTCACCCTTTTTCCTCCGTTATCCACGCGACTACGAGACTCAGTTCCTTTTCCCTGTGAACTGAAGCCTTATTAATTATGCGGTGGTTCAGTGTGCCTCTCGTCATCTGCGCCCTCTGTTATATCTATTGTTCCCATCGCCCTCTTCTCTCTTTCCCTCCCCTCCCTCTTCTTTCCCTCATCTTCCCTTTTCCTCTTTCCTCTCCCTCCCTCTCTCTTCTTCTCTTTCCCTCCCCTCTCGCCCTCTTCCCTCTCTCTCTCTCTTTCCCTTCCCTACTTCTCTCCTTCCTTCTCTCTTTCTGCTCTTCCCCTCCCTTCTTCTCTACTCTTCCCTCCCCCTTTTCCCCCTTCTTCTTTTCCCTCTTTCTTTTCCTTCCCTTCTCCTACTCACATTCCCTCTCCTCTTTCGACCCTGTTCATCGCCGCTCTATCTCTGTCTCCTTCCTCTCTTTCCCGCCCCTCTGTCTTCGCCTGCCTCCCCCTCTCTCATCTCTTCCTCATCTTCCCCCTCACTTCCCTCCCATGATTGCCTCTTCAACCTCCACTTCTTGCTCTCCTTCTTTCTCTTTCCCTCCTCCCTCCCGTCCTATCTTCCCTCCCTCCCTTCTTCCTCTCTTTCCCTCCCCCCTCCCTCTTTTCTCTCGACCCCCCTCCTGCTTCCTCTCGGCTCCGCTCTCCCTCCCCTCTTCTTTCCCTTCTCGCCCCCTCCCTCGCCTCTTCCCTCTCGCTCCCCCCCCTTCCCTCTTCCCGGCTCACCCCTTCCTCTGCCTCTTTTTTCCCTCTCTCGCCCGCTCCCCCTCTGCCTCTCCCTCTCACCCCTTCTCTGCCTCTTCCCTCTCTCTCCCTTCCCCTCTCTCTTCTCTCTCTTTCCCTCCCCTCCTCCCTCACCCCCTTCCTCTGCCTCTTCCCTCTCTCTCCCTTCCCCTCTCTCTTCTGTCTCGCCCCCTTCCCCTCCCTCCTCCCTCTCACCCCCCTTCCCCTGCCCTCTCTTTTCCCTTCGGATAGACTTTCTCCACTTTTCGGTATTCCATTCAAAGAGATTTGCTGTGTATTGTAAACATTTGCGAATTAATATGGCGATTTGTTCCTGTTGCCCTTTGTGTTGTGTGTTTTTGTTATTGTTTTTTTTTATGTGTCATTATCTTGCCAGTTTGTTCAGGGAAAGAGTGAGTTAATACGCAAGGTTTTTTTTTCTTAACTCACAAGATGCGTGGGGCGTGATATGGTAAAACAAATGTGTTGTGTAATCTGTCTTTGTCCAGCTGTCTGCTCGTCTCTCTCTCTCCTCTCTCTCTCTCTCTCTCTCTCTCTCTCTTCTCTCTCTCTCTCTCTCTCTCTCTCTCCTCTCTTTCTCATTCTTCTCTGTCTCTCTGTCTGTTTGTCTGTTTTCTCCTATGTCTCAGTCTCCGTCTTGTCTCTCTCTTCTCTCCCTTCTCTCTCTCTCTATCTATCTATCTCTATCTCTCTCCATCTCTCTGTCTTTCTCACTTTCTCTCTCTCCATCTATCTATCTATCTTATCTCTCTGTCTGTCGTCTCTATGTCTCCGTCTCCGTCTTTCTCTCTCTCTCTCTCTCTCTCTCTCTCTCTCTCTCTCTCTCTCTCTCTCTCTTCTCTCTCTCTCTCCTCTCTCTCTCTTCTCTCTCTCTCTCTCTTTCTCTCTCATCATCACTATCATCATCACCACCACCATCATCACCACCACCATCATCACCACCACATCATTATCATCGTCATCATCATCTCCACCATCACCATCGTCAAACACCACCATCACCATCATCACCACCGTTATCATCCTCATCACCACCATCAGCATCAGCATCATCATCATCGTCATCGTCATCCTTTCTATCATTCATAATCATCCACATCATAATCATGCACCACCACCAACATCATTCACCACCCATCATCACTATTATCACCACCATCATCACCACCACCATCATCAATTGTATCGTCACCATTACCAGTACCACCACCCACTAGTATTATCAACAGACTCATACGACTATTAATTGAGTACATCTGAACCTATTCGATACACATAAGAAACTGAAAAATGCAAAAAAAAAAAAAAAATGAATAAATAAAAATGGAAAAATACAAATATGCGAGATTGATCTGCATTTTTCCTGATAATTAATCTTCCCCTTTTTATTCAACTTTGCATTGATTTGTTGATTTAGATTCGCAGTTAGTTATGCTTGTATATGTTCAATAATTTGCATGTATATCTAGATAATCACTCTTTTAATTGATTAAGTGCTTGATTACCTGTTTGTTCGTTATTATCATTATCATTATCATTACTATTATTATTACCATCATTATTTCTATTATCATTATAATGATCATCATTATTATTATCATTATCGTTTGCTCGTTATTATGGTTATCATTATCATTACTATTATTATACCATCATTATTTCTATTATCCTTATAATGATCATCATTATTATTATCATTATCACCATCATCATCATTATCATTGTTGCTATTATTGTTATTTTTGTTATAAGGGTCACTATTGTTGCCATTGTTTATCATTCTATAATCATTATCATCATTATCATTACTATCACTATCATTTTTATTAATATCATGATCATCACCTTTAGTATGATTAATAACAATATCACTATTACAATCCTGATATCATCATTACCACATAATAGCAATTTTGCGTAGAAATTCATGGCCTTAAGAGATACCTAAAAGTAAATGTTAATCATGAGATTCTGAATGCAGATGATATGATTTTTGGGGAATAAACAATGCCATTAAAAATTTCTCTTTCGTGCAATGAATTCCATGCGCCACAAAACAAGCATAATGTTAATATTCTTTTCTACTTTATTTGCGCATTATATACATCATCCAGAAAAATAAGCTGAACTAAATGAAAGTTAATAATTTCGTTATTTTCGCTGTTCGTGGATTTTAGCAGAAAGTAGGTTTAATCATTTTCTAGATCGCATTTCTGAAAGCTTTTGATGTTAATTCATTCAGTGCATAATTGTAAGTAATTTGCTATGTCTTCTTGTCTTATGAGATTCATTTTGTTGGTTGTAATTTTCTAAATCTCTCAAGAAATGTATACATCCTTTTTCATGTTTTCGCAATAGTTTTTTTTCTTTTCTTTTCTTTTCTTTTTTTTTTTCTTTTTTTTTTTTGTTATTCCTCGCTCTATGCTTGCCAGTTTGCTTGCCTCCATTAGGCTTCTCCGAAATTGCTGGACGTCCCTGCCTCTCCGTCGGGTCCCGATCCTAAAAGCGTCCCGGATCCAGACCAAGTTTAGGCCCCTATCCCCTCCCCTCTTCTTCTCCCCTTCATCCCTCTATTCACCCCCTCCCCCCTCCCTCCTTCCTCTCTTCACCTCCCTCTCCCTCTCTCTCTCCTCCTTCCCTCTGTTCCTCCCCTCCCTCTCTCCCCTCCCTCCCTCCTTCCCTTCCCTCGCTCCTCCCTCTTTCCTTAGCCTAAGTATCCCCCCCTCGTTGGCTCCCCCTCCCCCCCCCCGCCTTCACTTTCACCTTCCGCGCGGGTATATGACGCGGCGGCCCGGCCATACATCCATCAGTCACTGCCTTGCCTCCTCCGGGAACAACACAGCCAAACCAGCCTCTTCGCTTCCTTTTGGATTTAACTCCGCCACCAACCAACCAACCCACCACCATGCCTGCCATCGGAAACGAGATCTCCACCTTCGTCTCCCAGTTCACCAACAACCTGGACCTGTTCAAGGGCCAGATCAGGGACACCCTCACCACCCTCGACTTCGCCACCATCGCCACCGTCCTCCTGGTGGTCGTCGGCGCCGTCCTCATCTACGATATATTCGTCTACCTCCTGTCCTCCTCCAGCAGCAAGAGGTCGCTGATGATGTCGCCCGTGCTGGCCCAGCTCGCCTCCAACGCCTGGGACATGAGGGACGAACTCGGCTTCTCCAACATGATCGAGTCCAGGTGCGTCTCCTTCCTCCTCCTCGTTGTTCGTCTTGTCTCTTTGAGTCTTTCTCTGAAGGGCTTGGCTTATTCATATTTGTTTTTTGTCACTTTGGAGATTTCAATAGCTTGTAGGATGGGATTGTCATAGTGGATTTGTACTGATTTCATTTTCGTAGCGTCTCGATTTCGGAAATGAGATTGAAGCTCAATATTTTTCTTACCGAAATAGCTAATTCAAGCAGCAATTTTTTTCCAAAGACAAAAAAAAAAAAAAAAAACACTTTAGCAGACACTTTACGCAAAGAAATGCAGAGGAGTTGCTTTTTGTGGCCCATTCATTGTGGTAGAACAGGTTTTACGCGAAGGTCAAGTTCACTCTTGTGCAGAATTCGTACTCAAGCGCTGGCCATGAACCCAGTGGGAGGCCTCTCCATCTTGGGAAAAGAAACAGTACTTGCAAGAAACAGTCTATTTCTTTTCTTATTTCCTTGCTTTTCATTTTAATTCTCCAATACAGTGTTCAAAAGAAGACCAAATATAACCTTTATTTTTCTCCTTCCCTCAGGTCCTTCGAAACCCTCTCCCCTGTCTTGGATGCCATCAGACTAGCCGTGGAGAAGTACGAACACCTCCAATAGTGTGCTCATGGGACTTCCTCAGCCTCCTGCAGAAGGTCACCATCCCGGGCACGTCCACCGCCCCCCAGTCCCGCCCTCCGCTGAGAAACAGGCATCTCAGGCTGTCTTCTGCGGCAACAGGAGAGCGAGATTTTACGAAGATGTTAAGATTCTTCGTCAGTGAACCTTCCAAAGCCGCGGCTAAGAGAGACCTCGTGTCATTTGCTCAGATGCCTGTTTTATTCTCAGAAATTTATGTTCTTGAATTTTTCTCAAGAAGGTCCCGGGCTCTTGCTGGTCGAGAGGTAAATGCTGGGCTCCTTATTGTGATTGTTGTTCCTTCGTTTTTATATTTGCTTTGTTTTCTTTATCATCATTTATCTTTTTATTTTTTGTTTTTAATCTGCGAGACAGAATCAACTATTGATGTATAATTTATGTGTTGTATTTAAACTTTGTATAAATAAAATGCTCCTTTTTTAAAAATGTAAATCTAATTGTAATTTGCCGCCTTTGAACTGGAGAAATAGTTAACGACCAAAAAGTAGATATATGCCACTCGCTGATCACAACACCACACTTCACCACACACACACACCACACACACACACACACACACACACACACACCACACCACCACACACACACCATATACTATATATATAATATATATATATATATATATATATATTATATTATATATATATACTGATGTATACATATGAATATATATATAAATATATATACATATTATACATATATTCATATATACATATATATTGTGTTTATATATATATAATATATATATATATATATATAATATATATATATTATAATATATATATATATATATATATATATACACATGTATTTGCTTGTATATGCATGCATCTCATTATTCAAATATTCAACATTCCAAGTATGTCACAATATTTTCTAAATCATTAAGAACAGATATCAAAGCGACCTTCAATATCCATGACATAACACGTTACACAACAGCATAAAACACAATGTCACTAGAGAGAAAATCCCAAATCACGAATCTCTAGGCAACAAGGAGAAAGCTAACGAAAGTGAAAGGGAAAAGGGTCTCTACAGTCCTTTGCTTAAGGGCGAATAGGCTTTACCACCGTTCCCATTGTATTGTATGGGTGATATGTGGAGCATAGAAACCATAGTTCGTGAAGCGTTGAGAAGCCTTACCTCACATATGGTCAAGGTGGAGGAGGAGACAGGATGTGGTAATGAATAAGGAATGAGAGAAATTCGGAGGGCGCGAAATATTGAAAGAAATGGAAAGAGATAGGAAAAATAACGAGAACTTTACGTGTTAGATGTATATAAGGTAAATGTAGAAGTGAGATGAGAGAAAACAGAAAAGAGATAAAAAATGAGAGAGAAAGAGATAGATAAATAAATAGATAGAAGGAGAGAGAGACAGACAGAGAGACAGACAGACAGACAGGAACATACAGACAGACAAAGAGAGAAAAGAGAGAGACGACGCAAACAGACAAACAAACCAACAAAAAAAAAACAAAATTACTACCACCGAAAAGAAGAAAGAACCCAACCAACGAATTATTTAAAAACAGATTTAAAAAAGACAATAAATGACGCAAGCCATTTTAAGAGAGAAAACGCGAGAAAGCCCCTTCCCTTCCGCCCGAAGACAGACTTGCGCACCGTGTCTCCTCCAATCAAGGGAAAGGAGTCCCCGCGTTACGCGTGAAGCGCGGTGTGGGTACGGCGAGATGACGCGAAGGGAAAGACGAACACGCAATTGACAAGCTTCGCAAGGCCGAGTCAGGTACGATTGGGTTGCGGTTTTAAGCGTGTGTGTTGGAGTGTGGCCTCTTCGGTAGTTTATGTGGTGTTGTGTATGGGAATTGTGTATGAAGAAAGAGAGAGAGGGAGAGAGTTACTGAGACAAAGAGAGAGAGGAGAGGGAGGAGTCACAGAGAGAAGGAGAGTGAGAGGGAAGGATGGAGAGAGAGAGAGAGTCATAGAGAGAAAGAGAATGATGGAGAGGAGAGAGAGAGAAGGTGCGATAAAGATCGAAATAGAGATGGCTCAAATGAGAGAGAGAATAAAGAAAAGAAAAGGGAAAGAATGTAGAGAGAGAGTGAGGACTAATAAAACTATAAACACATACACAAATAGATAAACAACAAGAATAACAAATAACCAAAAAACACCCAGTTCAGTGACATGGAATTCAGCCTACGTGTTATTTTCTGCATTCGGCCTAAGGAAAGGGATATGCAGATTCGAGCACCTCCCTCCTTTAGCCCAGTAAACTACGACATTCTGTACACCTCACTTCCCCGGCTTTCTCTTTTCCCCAGCCACGCGCTCCCCCCCCCACCCCCACCCCCCACCCGGCCACTCCAACACCCCAATTACACCCCCCCCCCATCCCTTTTGTCCCTTCGCTTAAGCATTATTTGTTTTTGATGATTTTTCCGTCGCATCAGATTTGGCTATTGTTCTCTCTCTCTCTCTATCTATCTATCTATCTATCTATCTATCTATCTATCTATCTATCTATCTATCTATCTATCTATCTATCTATCTATCTATCTATCTATCTATCTATCTATATCTATCTATCTTTCTATCTAAATGTAAACATATACATATATATATAATATATATATATATATATATATATATTATATATATATATATATATATATATATATTATATATATATATAATATATATACGTGTGTGTGTGTGTGTGTGTGTGTATACATATAGACACACACACACACGCACGCAACACACACACACACACACACATACATACATACATATATATATATATATATATATATATATATATATATATATATATATATATATGTATATATATATATATATATATGTATATATATATATATATATATATATATATACATATACATATATATATAAATATATATAGAGAGAGAGAGATAAACAGACATACAGACAGACAGACAAAGCAAACAGACAAGCAGACACAGACACAGAGACAGACTGATAAAGGAATGTCAATATAACTTGAACTGACCATCACCCCCCCCCCCCTCCTTAAATAGAAAAATAAAAAAAGATGAATAGATAAATAAAATCTAAGAAAAAAACACAATCTGAAAAAAACTACATTACAAGCCGGCCTAACTTTAAACCTCATAACCGCCACCTCTTTAACACCTGCTATGTAGATATCTCCGCCACATGGCCAGCCAGGTATGTGGTTAGAGAGGCATAAGAGACAGCAGGCGGTCGGAAAGTGAGAGCGAAACTTAGAGAAAAGAGAGAGAGAGAGAGAGAGGGAAAGAAAGGGCGGATTAAGGAGGGTGGGGAGTTGGGGGTGAGAGGGGAGAAGTGAGCGAGGGAAAGAGGAAGGGAGAGGGGGGATGAGGAGTGTGGGAGGTGGGTAGGCGGGAGGGGAAGGAGGAGGAGAGGGTAAACAGAAGGAGAGAGAGAGAGAGAGAGAGAGACAGAGACAGAGACAGAGAGACGGGCAGACAGACAGACACAGGAAGAGAAAGAGGGGTAAAAATAACAGAATAACACAGAAAATAGAGAGAGAGACAGACAGACAGACAGAGATGAAGACATACAGACAGCCAAGCACACATCCTCACAGACTGCTAGCGAAAGAAACAGACTCCCGGACTGACAGAAGGACCCGCCAAGCCCCAAGAGTTGTGGTGAGCAGCGAGACCCTCCTGCGGGAGAGATCCTCCTGCGGGAGACAGAGCGTGAAGGATCCCACTGTACCTGGGCCTACTTGATTCAGGTTAATTGATACTACAGGTGTAATGTCGGAATGCATCCGGTGGTCCACGCTGGTCACTCCGGCATTCGCACTTTACTGTGTGGTTTCACTTTACGCTAACAACTGAACGAGGTGCCTCTCTTTACCTAATTATGCCAAACTGGTGTGCGCTTTAACTAATGGAAAACAAAACTCAAAACGTTTAATTTTGTTTACAGATATCATCATTTAAGGATTTTATTATACACAATCCTTTGAAGGTAGAATATGGACAGTGAAATTGGCTGTTTTTTTTTAATAAAGAATAACTCATGACACAATTCTCTCATTTCCCTAATGGCTGACAGACTAAACAGGTTAGTGACGTTCGATTCAGGATACAGAAGTGTGGGTATGGTATCTTAAATAGGATCAGAGGAGGGACAAAAACCTCCCCCTCCTCCTCCCCCTCCCCCTCCTCTCCCATACCCTACTAGTCTTCTCTCCTTCTCTACCGTATTCGTCGGAAGATACACTTCTTCTATTTTTCTACCCCCTTTTTTTTTTTATTTTTTTCTAGTTCATTTCCTCACACAATTTCATCACGCCATTCGTTATCTTGATTTGCCTCTCTTCTCATACTTACCGATTTCATTCTTCTATGCATACCTTTTCGGGTCCCGGTGACGTCAGCAGCCGACCGTGTCCTTGTCCTAAATAGCTTTCCAGACCCACCCACCCCCCCTCCTCCCTATCCCCCTCCACCCCCTCTCTTCACTGACCAGCCCTTCCTGCGTCCTCCTTAACCTCGCCTTCTTTGATTTATTGGGTGTGTTCCAAAGGATGGGAGAGAAGTGTGTGTGTGTGTGTGTGTGTGTGTAAATCCATCAGCCGGAGCACCGGTTCAGATCCCCAAGTGGCTAACACTTATCTTACCTTGCCTGCTGAAGGAATCGAAACTCGTTTACAATTCTTCTTTTTTACGGCTTAATCCTTGCTTGGCTCGTTAGCTGGATGGAACTCTATTGTTCCACTCGCTCCCGAACGATACAGCCAGATACAGCAACACAGCGAGACCTGTAATCTAGAAAGAATTAAGATTAATAAACAAGAATATAAGCCTGTACGTCACCTCAAAGTGCCATGTAATACGACCTTTCAGGACACGTAACCTGAAGTACAAAGGGCTGTGTAAGTAATGTAATATAATATCATGACCAGATATAGAATGTAACAAAAATAGTTGTTAGATGAATGAATGAATGGCTGTGGGTTGCATTATATACTAATCTTTTTTATGTTATATCAAAGTAAAATGTTATTACCAAGTATCCAATGTGCCAAAAGTGCCCATTCTGAAGTAAATAAACAAAGTAGTAAAGGATTAAAAGTAGTTACATATGTATGCATGCAGGTACTTATATGTGTGTGTGTGTGTTTATATATATATATATATATATATATATATGAGTGTATATATATTTATATAGATAGATATATAGATAGATAGATAGATAGATAGATATGTATGTATGTATGTATGTATATGTAATAATAATGATATATCTATAAATATATGATACGTATAATGTATACATACACACACACACACACACACACATACACACACACACACACACACACACACACAACACACACACAACACACACACACACACCTACACACACACACACACACACACACACACACAA